GCTACTTCATATTTCGCTCACTGCTGCTAGCATTATCGCACTTGTCACGCGAGAAAATACTTCTTCATATTTTTTTCGAGTTTAATTACCTTGCTCTATCTTAATCTACGTAAACGAATTTTTTAATAATTTCAAAGTGCAGCTGACGAACACACGACTTGAACGAAAGGTCCGTTTCAGTTTTTTCAGTTTTCAAATATAGTACTTCTTCTATAACGGGTACTATATTTCGAGCGTTGAGAATGAAATAATAACTACGTACGTCCACGAATATCTCTGTTGTTTCTCAAAATATTTCGTTTCGACGCATTACAATTTTGCGGACAAAGTAATTTTTTGGTCGCAGGTGGATTAGTTTCGAAGACTTCAAAGTTACTTTTGAAAGTAGAATCATATTTTTTTCTTTCTTTTTTGGTTCATTAATCGATGCAGCTCGACATGTGTCGAAAAGCTATTGATTTAAAAGGTACTTTAACCTTAATTTGCAAAATCTGTCGTACGAGTGGCGAGGGAACAAGTATTCTTGTTCTCTCGTGCATAAATTTTATGAAATTAAAATTAAAATATCTCTCTATTGAACTAATAATTTTTCGAGATACTTAGGTTAATAATTTTATTACAAACAGCATCGAACTACATTGATTAATGAATCAAAAAATATATCATTTAAAGTATTATATTATTACTGCTACACGATTCCCCCCTGTATCGAATAACTTTTGTTTTTATAAAAATTCATCGAAAGAGAAATTTACTTCATCAAAATTTTTTCATATCCCCAGAAATAACAGAGATATTTCAGATGGACATGGTTATTGGTTTCGCTCTGTATATTTCATATACGTTATATAAAACATCTGGAAATTGAGACAGAACGTGAACATTAGTGAATGTCTGAAATTAATCTAAAAATGTACACACGTTCTATATTTTCAAATTTATTTTAAACTTTACCGATCTATAATCGTGACTCTTGAAACTTTCAAATGTTTTAATATAACTAATATATTTATAGAAAGTTTCTAGCTTTCGACAGACATTGATCGGCACGTAAATTCCGACGCGAGTGAATCGAGAGTTAAACACCGCGGTTTTCGAATTTTTATTGGATACCACGTTCCGTAACGCGGTAAATTGCGAAAATAAATCGCTCTCGAAATGCTGTATTAATATTTCCGAAAATCAAGAAAAAAGACAAACAATACCGAGAGTGATGTTAATAAAATACAGTTACGTTGAATGGGTACATAAACCCTGACGTACGCAGGGAATGTGTTTATTTTGAAATGCAATCAACGAGAAAAAAATATCGCGAAAATACTCTCTGTGAATTAAAAATTGATATACTCGACATTATTCGCGTAAATATAACTTGCCAGTCAGAGACACACGCAGCTGAGGAATAATATATTATCTATACGATTACTATACGATTACTCGCATGTACAGAGCGATTTATCTGCGGCGATCGCGCACAACGTAATATGTATTGCGTTACACGTTTCGATGCAACAATTATTAATGCTGGTTTAACGTTTACTATGCAATGGCCACGAAAGTGCCTCGATCAAACGTAGCTCTCCCAATCGATGCAACATTGACGACTAGTGTGTATTTGCGACGTTAAATCACAGAATCACCCGATATATTTTTGCGTCACACGGTTCGAGGCTTTGGAGATCCTTCATCATTTTAATATCGTTCCCGGTGTTATCGACCGAGTGTAAAATAAGATTGGAAGATTTGTGACTTTTCGGGATCGGAACAAAAGTTTTGATCAAATTATAAATAAAACGTAGAATAGCGTAGATTTTGTTTCGTAGAATCTTTAGATGAAAGTTATTGGAAATATAAATCAGCGATCGGTTCTTTCATTTTATTCGCAAAAATTTAGATCCATCCATTATATTTATACGGCTATTTAAATTACTTTCTTTACGAAATTTAAAATATATATATATATATTTTTTTTATTTTCTTAGTTCGTTCGATAGAAATCGACTGATCTTGGATATTTAGGTTGAAATGTAAAATGAACGTAAGAAACGTTTCTTCAGTGAGCAGCTTAATTTTCAAGAGAATACGAACGCAACGTAATAGTTGATTAATATTAAAAAATACTCACAGTCGTTTGGTCAAACGTGACGTGTCTCTAGATGTTTATTTTCTATTTGTCGAACGGAACACAGTGGATACGTACCTGAAATCGGAAAATTTGCATTATTAATTGAATGTAACGAAATGACGAATGATTTTACAATAACCGTTCAAACATTGCTGCGTGTAAATTGCTGCAACGGTTCAACAGACAATCAATATTATCAGTTGATTCGGGCCAGTGTGGACAAATATAGTTTTCCAATAATTGACACTGCCGTGATAATAGCAAAATGATACAAGAGTTTTCAAATATTATTCTTCGATTTGGCAAGGAAATATGTTGAGGAATATTTAAGGACGATCCAGCTTCAACAATTTATCATAAAATATGCCTTTAATCTCGTTTCGTGACTCGACAGAACGTTCGCGGATCGATTTATATATTTCGCCATGAAAATTTGACGAAATTTGACAATTCATGGAGCCCGGCATTCGAAGCTCGGTAAATTCAATATTTGGTTACCATTTTCGTTTGATTTTCTTCTTCTCTTACAATTAGTAATAACGTCACTGGCGTGTTTCGTTAAAAAATTATCACTAGACGGCAAGAACCATCTTAAAATTTGTGTCAAAGAAAGTGCAAGGGTTAGACAAAATTCTAACACTTGTAACAATCAACTATCACTTGTAACTGTTACTATGATAACTAACGATTAAGAAGTTGTTTGAAATAATAAGCGTATCTGTGAAAGTTGGAGAGCTTCTTAATTACTTAATTACATTTCTCGAAATATTGTTTTTCTCTGATCGTTGCATTTTTGTAATCTACATGTTTTTACATTGTATTAAAATTATTTATTCAGGCATCAAAAAGTTAAACGAGAAAGAGGCATTTTTCGAAGAGAATGCTTGTAATGTAATCTCAATTATTACAATATATGCTTTTGTTTGCATATTTCACGGAAGCCTCTTTTAAAGAAAGCATAGTCCAATTTTCTTTCTTCTTTATTTCAATTGTCACTGTACAGACTGCAGATGTTTATGCCCGTTTATAGAAAATTTTCCAAGCGCAAAATCGCACAAGATACCGATGACGTGCGAAACTATATAAAATATCCAAAGTATAATTGACGCGTGAAACGATTTCCTACCGAGGTCCCCCATTTCTTCAGTTACATTCTTAAAAATATATACAAGTGAAATATATACGAATCGAACGACGCTTTTCTACCAACTTCTATGTTTTAAATTATATTTCTAAAAAGCATGTACTCGAGTCGCAAATGAAACGAACGAGAACGATTTTCTACCGAGGTCCCCCATTTCTTCAGTTACATTCTTAAAAATATATACAAGTGAAATATATACGAATCGAACGAGGACGCTTTTCTACCAACTTCTATGTTTTGAATTATATTTCTAAAAAGCATGTACTCGAGTGGCAAATGAAACGAACGAGAACGATTTCCTACCGAGTTAGGTTCTATTTTTTTTCTTTCTTTCTTTTTAATTACATTCTCAAAAATATTTATTTGCGTTGCAGGTGAAGAGAGCCGTGGAGATCCACGCGCGCAGTACGATCGGCCTGGCTGGAGGACAAGTCGGCCCATATGAGAACCGTATCTTATCCGGAGCGTGGATGGGTGCAAGTGTGACAAAGTGCCGTCCAGCTTCAGGAACCCGTCCGCTTTCATTTGACGCGCAGAGGCGTATATACACGCTGGGTGCCTGCCGGACGACGCGAGTTACGGCCACGACGACGGAATTACTTTGGAAATGAGCTGCCGCGTGGCTGATAAAGCCGCCCCGGACGACTATGTTATTTCCACCATACGTTTCCTTTTATGGTATTCGCCGGGGCGATCATCGTCTCTCATTTAACTTGGAGCACGTAAACGATGGAGCCAACCCCTCCTTGGAACGTATGAAGACATCGATTCGCGAAGGAGAACGAAGACCGATGCTCGGGCTCAGATTTATGTCACGTATTTTACGGCGAAATTTTTCAATTAAACGAACGATCCACGGGAATTCATTTCATATTTCATATTCGTTTCAAACTCTGGAGCACCTTTTGTTATACTTATCCTTCATTCGTCTTCCATCAAATCATCGAGATCTCAGCACACGTATAAAATTCATTCTTCCTGCTATTTATCAATGATGTATGATTCTAAGCTGGCCTTTTCAAGTAGAACACGTTCATTTCATACATCATTGATTTACCTTCCACGATATCATCGAAATCTTGTACGTATAAAATTTATCTTCCCGATATCTATTCTTCCATCAGTACAAAATTCTATGCCGACTTTTTTCAAATTCGTTCCAAATTCTGAACTAGCGTTTCATTCATTTATTTTTGTACCTTAATCATCGAAAAATCTCACCATACGTGTAGCATTCATATTTCTATTGTCTATTCATCAACGTGAGATTCTTATCACCTTGAATGTAACTGTAGTGTACATAGTGCACATCGTGAATTAAAATCTTCTGAGTTTTAGGTTCGTTTCGACGTACGTAGGCTGTGAAATAAATTCCTGCTTTCTGCAAAATGCCGAAATTTGAGCACTCAAATGATTAAATATTTATTTGTGTATACTTCGGACGATTTTAATACTTAGTCTTCTCAATAGAACTAATACTGTTTTTTTTTTTTATGGTGTTTCTGTCTCATTTTTGTTATGAAAGAGCTAAATCGATTAATTCCATAAACTAGAAATTAAAGAAATTTGTTAATGTTTACTTTTTAGAAATATTCGTTTCTTCCGTAACAAATAAAATATATCGAAGCAATTGTAGCAATTGATCAATTTGACATCTAAGAAGACACTGTGTCATCAGTTTGAATTATTATTGAATTATCTGTTCGAAAAAAAAAAAA